TTCTTTGTTACAGGATGTAAAAAAGAAGTTTGGTGTATTTTCACATTTAAAGATTTCCTCAATGCCATATTGGTAGGACCCATGTCACTAACCACATGGCAACCACATTAAAACCAATTGCATGTAAACATTCTATTATTTTATGTAGGAACTCCTTAGTTATTTTTGTATCGTAATCATAAAATATAGGCTGTTTCCAGTTACTTACTAAGCTTTTTTTTTTTCAAAAAATTAAAGTTGATTATTAATTAGTTTAGTATTTTTAGTACTTTAAATTAATACTATACCTCAAGCCATAACAGTTTGAACACATTTGTGTGGCCCAATTACCTGTTCATTTTTTTTTTCAAAACAAATCCGTTTTGAAACATATGTTTCATCAAAACTAATAACTGTTAGTTTATCATTTGTGTTCATTAATTCTCCCGGTGTAAAAATAAAATAAAAATAAAGGCCTGTAAAAATACTTTATAAATTATTTTAAAATATACCTTTGGATCTCATAAGATATAATACAGATGAAAGGATTGCAACATCAAGATTAAAAGTTGAGGCCCAAGTTCGTAATGTTGATAAACCTTTTGAAAAGTGATTAAGTGATAGTTAGTGAAAAAGAGTTTCAAAATAAAATGAGTAAACAATTTTCGAAAATTTATTTTAACTAACCAGGCAATGGGAAATTTTTTTTTTAACCTTAAGTAACGATAAGCTTTTGGAGAAATACTTCTCAAAGTAATAGCCGAAGATATATCCTCTGGTGTCCATTTATAAACTTTAGCTTTAGGATGAAGCATTAAACTAATTTGAGTTGGTGAAAATAACTTTGATAAAATTTCTTTAAACCGGCTTTCGAAACGGTCATTTTCTAACTCAGTAAATACTTTGTACCATTGTATTTTATATTCCTCATTACATAGTTTTTTTTTTAACTATCATTATCCAATAAAATTTTTTCAAATGATTTTTAACATCAATTAACTCTTGTTTTAATCTACACAATTGAATAACCATAGAAAAGGTTTAATGTTATAACAATAAATAAAATTAAATGCCAATATTATTCAAACACATAGAACATATATTTTCTCAAAGTTACACAAACATATAATAAAGATCCTTGTGAGTTGTGGTATCTACTTAAATACATACTTATACATAAGACTATTGAAAAAATATATACATATACAATATACAAACATGAGCATTTTGCAAATATAAACATTTATTATAATAACTAATCTCAAAATTACAAAAATACAATAATTTACTTAAGATCCTAGTGTTATCTACATACACTCAAAAATATACAATGATACCTATATAAGACTCTTAAAACAAAAGTCATATACACTACTGACACAAATTAACATTTACTGAATATAATAATATCTTGGTTTTTAATTAACTGAAGATTAAAATAGTTTTGATTTTAAATTAAATTTAATCCGAGTTTAAGTAATCTGGGTTTTATTAACTAAAGATTTATTTACTACCAATTGAAGTTAGTAACTCGTTAATATAAGAACGAGCCTAACTTCATATTAGTATATTGTTTTCTGTTATAATTTTAATCTTACAGATTTTTGCACATGATTTATGCATAATGTTACTTCTTGGTGACGAATTTGTCAAATGTCAATATTTAATATTTTCAATATAAAATACTTATTACGTAGTGTAGCAGTGTATAATAATATAATATAACTAGCTCTAAGTGTAACTCGGGGCCCCGTCGGACTCGCTGGGAGTAGGTACCGATTTTGGAGACAATGAATTATAAAAGTCGCAAAGGTTGTAAGACGAAAGTTTAGGATTTGTGATAAGGATTAGTGATATGGATTGGAGATAAGGCTAGACGCTTTGGCGGGAATGTTAAAAGTTTGAGCGTCTAGCAATCCGTCACAAACGTTGTAAATGGATAGGCTGGATACGATGTCCAAGATCACCGATATAGAGTATACCTGCACATAGAGTGGTATGTGCCGTAGCATGACCGGTGCCTTATCTTATGTAAAAAGTGTAAAGTCGAAAACCGTGTTGGAGTTTCTAGCAAGTCAGTCATCTCAAGTTAAAATCTATTAACTTTCAAGTTAGCCACTTAGGTAGGCAATCCGACTTCGTCGGATCGCGGACAAATGGACAATGTGCTACAGCAAATCAGGTAGGCAATCCACCTGCGGTGGATTGCAGACCCGACGTCAAGCGGCTATAAGTCAAAACCCTATCACACAACTTACGAAATAATTTACGAAAAATTCAAACTATATACAATATACATACAAACAAATATGATATGTATTTATTGTGTGATATAATATAACAATGAACATTCTGAGAAATGTGCTATTATAATTCCTAAAAAAAATTTATAATAGGTAGATAGTTAGATACTATTATATTAACCAATACAATACATATAAACATGTACCTATAGTGTATATACATATATTAATTTAAAAAAAAAATGCAAAAACCTGCATGTTAAAGTGTCTATCAAGTCAATCATCACCGTTTAAGACGAAACTAAAATGAGCAAGCCGTCTATCACCTACATGTAGTAGGTATATCACATTGAGTGGTATGTGCCTTCGCATGTCCGGTGCCTTTTCTTATGTAAAAAGTGTAAAGTCGAAAACCATGTTGGAGTGTCTAGCAAGTCAGTCATCTCAAGTCAAAATCAAATTAACTTTCAAGTTAGCCACCTAGGTAGGCAATCCGAAATAAAATACAAACTATATTTATATAACAATCATGGACATTTTAAAAAATATGCAATTATAATAATTCCTAATAAAACAAATATAACGTGTACCTATTTAAATATATTATGTTCCTGTATTATTATAATATTATTATTTAATTTATATGAAAAATATAGTGAAAAAAAAAGCAAAAAAAGAGTTCCGGGCGGCCGTGTAAACAATATGGCAATGACGTTACTATTTTCGTTTATTAAAAAGGTCATATTGTAGTTTTCGTGTTCATAAAATTTGTTTTGTAACTTAACTATTTTTATTTGTTCTTTAACTAATTTAGTTTGCGGTGCGTTATGCGTTTGTTCTATATTAAAATTAAATTTTCTAATGCATTCCAGATTACATATTCCCAGTGCCGCAACTAGAGATAAAAGGGCCCAGGTGCGAGTCAAATTTTGGGGCCCCCTATTTCAACCTTTTTACAAAATTGAATAGCACCAAAAGCGCAATTAAGGGTGGGCTTAAAACCCACTGGTAACAAAAAAACCCCGAAAATAATAAAGACATTTCGTTTCACATCAGGGGGCTAAATCTTTTTATTTTGGCTTTCCTTACAATGCCTATACATAGTGCATACCAAGTACAAATTTTAAAAAGCAAAACTATTTTTATCACTTTATTTTAAATAATTTTACTTACAAAAATAGTCAAATAATTTATGCATAGGCCTCCATTCGAAATGTAAGCCTAAAACCATATGTGTTTTCATCTCAGTTGATATTTTTTAATTTTTAAGTATAAATTAAACATAACATTATGTACCTTAATACAGTTTATTACAATAGCATTCGTATTATAATTTATAATACAAATTTGAAAGAATAAAATTATATTTTATTATATTATTCACTAACTGGAATAGAAAAGAGTACAAATATTATCATTTTAGAAAATTCTTTTTCCTAGCTTTATTATGAGCAAAATCGTTGATTATTTTTTCAATATTTAATTCTTTTGTTTTCTTTTTTTCTATGTTCAGTACAGCTATGTGTGATAAACGTTCTTGGCTAACAGAATTCCTTTAGTAATTTTTTATAAGTTTTAATTTAGAAAAAGAGCGTTCTGCCGAAACTACAGTCATTGATAGTGTTAAAAATATAATGCATGCAGTCATAATGTCACTATAGACTGAACAAAGATCATTTTCTAAAAAAAAAATCACTAAGATCTCTTATAGTCTTCAACTTCATATTTTTTAAATTTACTTTAAGTGATAAAAGTTGTCTAGGGAAATCAGAACTTATATCGTTTTGATAAAACTGAACAAAGTCATATGCAGTTTTTATCAATTCTGATTCTTCAGAATCTAGTATCATAGAAGGAGTTAAAAATTCAAAATTATTGTGTTCTGTCTTCATTCCTTCAAACCTTCCTTGTAATTGTGACAACGCAGTATCAATAATAGGTAAGAACACTGACACCCGAAAGTTGTCTTCAGTTATATCAATTCTTCTATCCTCATCGAAAAATTTCAATTCTCATCATGTGTTGTAAATTGGAATATTAGTTTAAAATCTTAAATCTTTTATGTCTGAAAAGGGCCCCCTAATTACAATGATAGGGCCCTTTTGGGGGTGCCATGCACCCCCAGCACCCCCGCTAATTGCGGCACTGCATATTCCGTATATTAATTTGGCTGCTTTTGTTAACATGCCTAATGTACTTCTTTTAGATACTGTGTGTTCTATTGTAGGAGCTCGTGTGGATGTCAGGAATTGAAGTAGTTAGTTAGGCGGCACAAAACACGAGACTCAATTAATATGAATAATAACTCTTTAATAATTATACTTCGAAAAATAATAACAACTTTAATATAACAACTTTAATATAAAGACAAGTTAGTGCCCGTGAGCGTGTGCAGTCCGGACACACTCCGGCAGACACACGCACGGCAACACACACCAAAAGACTAAGGTCTAAGACATACTAGACGTCGCTTCGGCGGCACGAGTAGGTGGACAGTGTTGTCACTTATCACTACAGCTCGGCCAAACCTGACGTTTGGATCGTCCTCGATCCGTATAATACAATACAAAAATAAAAAAAAAATACAATATAATAGATTAAGTATAATATTATGTATACAATGAAAATTGAAAATAAAATATGAACAATAAAATTTAAATAATGATAGAAATAAGAGAACACTTCCTAAAGCACCTGGTAGGTGATAATGCTTAAAAATACAAAATACATTTTTTTTTTTTTAAATACTTAATTACTTACAAAATCAATCAGATAAAATTAATACTGTTTAACCCAATGTTTAATGTCTCTCGCAGCGACAACTGTATTCAGAGGTATTTGGGTTACCTGGTGCCCTTCAATATCAGAAACAATATATCGGTCATGAGGGAGGACTTTATCTATTTTATATGGACCTTTGAATTTAGGCAATAATTTTTTGCAAATATTCGGTGTAGTATCAACATTTTTAATCATGATATATTCGCCAACAGAATACTGCGTGGCCGGTCGTTTAGTCGAATCATAGTAAGCTTTATTATTTAGTTGTCCTACACGTATGTTTTCCTGAGCATTCTGCCTAATTTTATCAAAATTACGTTGATCATTTTCAGATTCATTAAGCGCTTGTAAGTATAATCTAACATAATCTGTTGGCTCTCCTATTTGATCAATACCAAATAACAATTTACTAGGTGTATTCTGTATCGATCTAACAAACGTATTATTTACAGCGAACTGTATTTGATACAAATACTCATTCCAATTTTGACTATGCTCGTGCATAAGTTTCGATAACATCACCGTTAAACCCCTGTTGTATCTTTCCACCTGTCCGTTTGCCGACGGCGTACCTACTGCTGTTTTAATATGTTTAATTTCATAACGTTCGCAAAACTCTTTAAACACATCCGAACGAAAGCATGATCCACGGTCCGATATTATTTTTATAGGTTTACTATAGTGTAAAAAGTATTGTGTTAATCGTAAACATGATTCTTTAGCGGCAACTGTGCGGACTGGATACAAATTCAAAAATTTACTAAACGCGTCAACCACAACCAAAATGTGTCTGAAACGCCCAAAAGTTTGATTTAACGGACCATAATGGTCAACATGAATTGTCTGAAATGGTTTGTCTCCCTTGTCAATTAAATTTAATAACCCTTCGTCTTTACCGTTTTTAGGCGAAAATATAATACACTTGAGACAATTGCTTATGTATGTCTTAACGTGATCACTCATTTTCGGAAACCAGTAAATTTGTTTGATTAACTCAAGTGTTTTAGTTGTTCCTACATGGCACATGTCATCATGACACGAACGTATTACTTGGTCACGCATGCTAGACGGTACGTAAAACAGTAACCTATCGTTATTTTTTTGATATACCAACCCATTACGTAACTCAAACAGCGGGTGTTCTGATTGTTCCAGATCTCCGGAAATAGATCTAATTTCGGGGTCGGTTTGTTGTTTATTAGCCAGGGATTGATTAAACGTACAACCTTCTATTACTAAAATATGGTTACAGCGACTTAACGCGTCAACGTGCTGCATCTGCGACCCGGATCTATGCTCTATCTCGTATAAAAAATTTTGTAAAAACATGGCCCACCTAGCGATTCGAGGGTTTATGTCTTTTTTTTGTAGTGTCAGTGCAACGCTATTACAATCTGTTATTATTTTAAATTGTATACCTTGTAAATATACGCGGAACCGTTTAATAGAATTTATAATGGCTAACATTTCTAGTTCATAACTATGGTATCGCGATTCGGACTCAGTAGTCCTATGACTATAATAAAAAATCGAGTGGAATTGATTATCGGGTTGCTTTTTTAATAAAATGGAGCCATATCCGTGGCTACTAGCATCACAGTGGAGCTCTGTTATTGCATTGGGATTATATACATATAGCTAACAATGGTTGTTCCCCGAGTTTCAATTTAATGGAATCGAACGACCTCATTTGTTCCTCTCCGAACTCGTACGGAATATTTTTTTTTAGTAAATTATAAAGTGGTTTGGCAATAATTGCAAAGTTCGGGATGAAACGTCGAAAATATGATGATAAACCAATGAAACTCTGTAGTTCTTTATTATTTTGTGGTACAGGATAGTTTTCAATAATCGAAACGTTTTTTGGATTTGGCTTAATACCGTATTGGTTTACACAGTACCCTAGGTAGAGTACCTCACGTTTCAAAAATTTACTCTTGTCTAGGCGGATCTCTAACTGTCTATTTTTCATTACCTTTAACACTCTCGATAGGAGCTCTAGATGCTCTTCAACGGTTTCCGTGGCTAACATAATGTCGTCGAAGTATACTACAACTTCATTTTTGCGAATAAATTCGTCAAAAACATTTTGTATAAAACGACTAAAACATGCTGGTCCATTGGCTAACCCAAAAGGCATTTTTAAAAATTCGAACTGTCCTAACGGTGTCGTAAAAGATGTAAATTTAATAGAGTCATTAGCGACATATACATGGTGGAACCCATCCTTTAGATCTAAGCATGTAAAATATTTTTTTCCGCGCAATAAATCTAAATTGTCGTCTATTAACGGCAGTGGATATCGGTCTTTTATTACGTATTTATTTAGTTCGCGGTATTCAACACACATTCTTAACTCTCCGTTTTTTTTCTTTACCAGGACTATGGGGCTACTATATTCGGAACTACTTCGCCGAATAATACCTTTATTCAACATATTATCTAACATTTTTTGTAGACAGTGTTTTTCAAAAAAAGACAAGCGCCGGGGGCGAAAATAAAACTGTTTGTCATTTTTTAGTATAATGCGTATTTCTGGACGATAATTGTCAGTCGTACTAATGACACTTTCGTGATTAACATAGGACTCGTCATATATTTTTTTAATTTTTGTTTTAATATCATCCGACAGAGTATCCTCAATATTCAAACTAATGTCAGCATCATCGCTATTATGATCAGTGTAATTAACAGATAAAATTTCAGCAAATGGTATATTATCAATTTTTTTAAAGCTTACTTCAAAACGACCATCCGACACATTCAAATTTACTCTAGGGTGAGATAAAAATTACGACCCAATAGGCAATCATTCCTCATGGCATTGCTAGGCACCACGTGAAAACATATATTAATCGGGGCATCAAGGTCGGCATGGAAAATATCCGCATCAAATTGATCTACAATGTTTAATTTAGAACCATTAATACCTACTAAATCCGATTTTGGAGGCATGATCCCAGACACGAATGGGACAACTGTCGATTTAATGAGACTAACCGGGCTACCCGTATCTACTAAAGTTTGTGCATCGATAGACTCACCATTGGGGAACTTAATGCTAACATCTAACATAGATGGGGGTACAATATGTGTGGGGGACCGTTCTAAAACAGAAACATGCTCACCACCGTTGTTGTCTTGACGCTCACCTTGGCGACTTGGACAGTACCGCGCTGAATGACCCGTTGATTTACAGCTATGACAGGTTCTCGTTGGACACGAAGACGCCAGATGTCCGATTTTTCCACAGCTATAACACGTGACATTCGACATATCCCTTGTTGGCTTACTTCTTGAATCAATAGTGGAACGTTGTACCGTATTTCGATCTTTATCGCGATTGTCAGAACTGGCTTTTCGATTGCCGGTATGACTTTGAGTTGTCTTCACAGGCTCGGTCGATCGAATTCGACTGGTCCTGGCATTTCTCAGATTATTGTAAGAATTTATATCAGCCAATAATTCGTCTTCACTTAAATGTGTGCGCGCTATCAAATAGTTACATAAATCGTGAGAATAAACACCTTCAACTATCTGTTGTTTAGTCTCGTTAAATGGCAGCGAAATTTCACGGCAGAGGCGCGCTTTGTGGTGAAAATATTCTATCACGCACTCACCCTTGGCTTGAACGCGGTTTGACATAATTCTTATACGATCAACTGTGCACGACTCGTTTCCCACAAATGTATTATTAAACTGGTCGACAAAACTTCCCCAACTTGAAAATGTACGACCAATGTACCAATTTTGGGACGGACCATCCAATTTTGTACGTACTATTTCTAATTTAAAACTGTCTGGCCAATTATGCAATTTTGCTACACCTTCGACTGATTTCAACCATGCTCTCGCATCTGTATTGGATTCAAGACCAGAAAAAATATTAATCGAATTATTAAAATCTGGCATGACGTAATAGCCGTTGTTGGAGGTTGACCGCGCTTGTATGTTATCGTTGTTTATGTTGTTATTGTCTTCATTACGCAATATCCGCGATAACAACAATCGGTTCTGCTCTATCAGCGCTGACAATGCATTTTGCATTCCACTATCACTGGCGGTGGTTACACTCCCGGACGGTTGGTTAGAACTTTGTGGTAACATGCTTGTTGTTGGCTGCGTATTTAGCTGCTCCGTAGACTGTACTGGTGGCTGCACTGTAGCCTGCGATCCGCTTCTTAAACGGCTAGATGACCAACCCTCGTGGTTACCGACATCATCCTGACCCGTTTGACCGTCGGCCATCTTGACTGAACTAATTAAGTTACGCAAAACAAAATATGCGTTACAACCCAGAACTACACAACGACTAATTCCACAATTATGTCAATACACAATATTTCTTTGAGGGCTGCTGGATAGAATCGCACTTCTGAACTGTAGGAGCTCGTGTGGATGTCAGGAATTGAAGTAGTTAGTTAAGCGGGACAAAACACGAGACTCAATTAATATGAATAATAACTCTTTAATAATTATACTTCGAAAAATAATAACAACTTTAATATAACAACTTTAATATAAAGACAAGTTAGTGCCCGTGAGCGTGTGCAGTCCGGACACACTCCGGCAGACACACGCACGGCAACACACACCAAAAGACTAAGGTCTAAGACATACTAGACGTCGCTTCGGCGGCACGAGTAGGTGGACAGTGTTGTCACTTATCACTACACTATAGAGTCTAATACTAGTTCCTTCTTTTTTCGTAAATCGTTTACTATGCTACTAGCTGTTTGCATTAAATTGTTACAATTGGTATCAACATTATTTTTGATACTTTCACATATTATTTCGGTTTTGTTCATAACATCGTCAATATAAATAAATCTTTCTTTGTATTTAGCAAAATTAATATACGCGGTTAAGTCCCATTGAGATGTGATAAGTTTCAATGGTCCCCGATTTTCGTTGTATAGACCGGAATGTTGTGTTAATTGTTCGTCGGTGTATCGAAATCGTCCCGACGTGAATGGTATAGTTAGTAGTATAAGTCTGAAAACCGTTTCAGCTTATTAGTCAAGGTAATTTTATGTAGGTAAATGTATTAGATTTAAAATTAACCTATTTCTATATATATATAAGTGCAAATTAAAATAATAATATGAATAATCTTATTCCCAAATCCCAAATAGAAAAAATGCATAATTGCTATAATAAAAAAACTATAATTTTTTTTTTTTTTTTTTTTTTTTTTTATTGAACTTAAGCCCGGCGACTAAGGCCATTAGCTGTTGTAGGGGTTATGAACTGTGGTAGAGGGGTAATGTTGGTATGGTAGGTTGTTTTTTACGATTGTTTACGGTTGTTACGGTAGGTAGCAAACACGTGTATGCGTGGCAAGGTTTTAACTACTATGAACCCCGGGTGGTCACCCATCCGGGAGCTAGTAGCTGTGGCCGTTACTTACTCCCAGTCGCATTCCGCGACTGGTAGCAGCCAACGCGCCACGCCAAGCCACAAAAAACTATAATTGTAAAATAATAAAATAATAATATTCCGTCACCCTATATAATGTT